GTTATGTTTTAACAATTGATTTTTCTCTAAAATTCCGAGGAGTTAGTGTCGTTTGTAATATGCATGTGTACATACATTGCATACATTATTTGTTCTTAACTCATCAATTTATCACATTATCTATATAGAAAAAAAACCATGAAACAAAAATAGACAATATCATCGTTGAAAAACAGAGTTCCTATGTAATCAAAAAAAAAAGAATAAAGTTCTAAACAAAGCTGTTAATTAGAAAGTTTTTATGTCAAGTTAAAAGAACAATAGCAGCAAAAATGTACATATACGTATCGATACAAGAAAAAAATTTTAAACGAAAAAATTCTACAAACATACAAAATACGTAGACGAATATTTATAAAATTTTAAAATGTTTGAAGGTATAAAACTTGAAAATTTCACATCGATCCTAGATAACCGAGAAACTTTGGGGAATATTGATAACGAATCAACACTTGATAAAGAAATCGATAAACAAACCACCACCGAACTTCTTAAAAAAATATCTAATCGTAAACCTTGTGATTGTGAGGCATTTAACGCGATAGTACATTTTAACGAAGTAATCTTTATCAATAAACACGCCAACCAAAGTGACAACATTGCAAAACTTCCGAACCAACTTCGTTTTACATCGAAACATATTAAAGTCATACTTTTACCGAAAGTTCTCGGGCAAGTTTTTAAGTTTACACCATTACAAATCGATGAAATTCTTTTTAGAAACAAATTATTTGATAGATTTAGGTTTGAATTACTCAAACTTGAACTAATTCTTGATCACCATAAGATGTATGACATAGAAATATTAAAAGAACAGAAAGAAATTACTTCGAAATTGTTTTATGGAGTTTTTGACGAATATGTATGGTCTAAAACATATCCTAAGAAAGCATTTTCTAGTAATTCATATGAATTAGGAAGGTGTATTGGGAAATTAAATAATTTGGAAAAAAGTAGGAAAAGAATGGCAACAATTGCAAAAAAGAAAGCTGTTTGGCCAAGAGTTTATCGGTTCATTCCTTATAAAATACCTAATTACTCCTAAAAATTATCTTTCTTTTAAAGTTAAATACGTTGTATATTTATCGTAAATAATTTTATTAATTTACAGATATTTGTATAGATAGATATTTCATGTTTCTAAATTTTAAACAAGATTCTTCGTATTATTCAATTATGTAAATTATTTCAAATTTTACTCATCAGTTGTATTTCTCTTCATAATTTTCTTTTCTAATAGACGCAATTTTTATAGATTTTTTTTTCACTTAAAATGATCTTTCACTTTCATCATTTTTGTAATCTCTGGATGCATTTTTATAATTCTCCAACTACCAACGGAATTTTTTTATTGGCGAAAATTTTCGTAAATAATAAGTTCGGCACGAAGTTTTTTGGTTATTTTCTACTTTCTCTACTACTGTATTTAGATAATAAAATTTCATGAATGTAAGAATTCAAGTATTATATGGGTCATACACAAAAAAAAAA